CTCAGGCTACATAACTGCTAAAAAGGGCTCAAAACAGGATTCATGTCATATACCTTTAAAAACACACTCAAAATAGGTTATTGCTTTTGTAGTGTGCTGCCTGCTCTTTATCCCCAGCTGTTGAGAAAGGTATTGACCAGAATGTTGCAGTAATCACTCAGGAAAACTATGGCCTTGGTTCAAGCTCTTCTATGTCATTCATTTCCTCAAATTTATTCCATGTTGCTTGGAAGAGTTACATATTCCTACAGCAACACTGCAGATATTCCAGATGTCTTTTTATCAGCACCTACCCTTAGCCAAATAATCCTTTTAGTGTTAGTAAAAAGGCTCTGATTGCTTTGCTGGCATCCCTGAAATTAGGGGGGCACATTTTACTTATTTTAACCTGCTCGTGTCAACAGTACCCATATATGAATATATGTACACAAACCTGTGCCAAGGCATCAGAAATCCCTTAAAGGATCTGGAAGGTGTTAAAGGTGCAGCTAAAATTAATTAATATATTATTATATTATAATATATTAATGTGCAGCTAAAATTAGCCTATACAGCTGAAGTAAGCACACCACTGCTATTAATTATTGCCACACAGTGCCTTTTACCGTTTACTTCTAATTCTTCTGATTGGAAATTTAAAACCTGAACAACCATTGGTTCTTAGGAGGATTGCATATAGGTTTTCCAAAATGATTTCCTGATATCAAGCATTGTAAAAAGAGCAAGCTCAGATTTAGCAACAGTGTACAATATACTGAATCCTTCTCAAGTATTACTTTGTTATGACAACAGTATTGCTTTTCTATCTTCATAAAAATACAAATCTAAATTAAAGAAATACCTTAAAAATATTGTTAAGATCATAAAAATCTGTTTTCAAATGACTTTAGGGTTTGAACTATGTATTAAAAATGCCTCAATGTAAGGTAACTGTTTAGCTCAGTGAGTCTGAACACATTAAAGTCTCTGTTAGACATGCATATTAAAAGGAGATCTGATTGTTGAAACACATTTTGAAGTTTACAAAATTGAAGTTGGTCTTTTGTATACCAAACACATATTTTAGAAGAAAATCAGTAAACATAGATGAAATGATTAAAATCACTTTAAACTAAACTGTCCCTGTATCTTTGTATATTTGACTAAAATATTGGAATTCCTGTTTCCAGCTACACTTTTTACTTGATATTACAATATCATTGAAATGCTTGCCACATTTATACTGTGTGCATTTGATAGAACTGCTTCCAAAATTTATTCAAACAGCAAAACCATATATCAAAGAAAAACATCAGTCCTACAGAATTCATAAAGTTAATATATATCTGTGCTTTAATGTGCTTTATTGTGCAAAAACAGATGTCAACATTAATTTTGCTAAACAAATGTATTTTAAGCACACATTTGAAACAGATTTCTTGAACAAAACAGAAAATTAAGAGCAATGTTTGATGAGCAATATTTCCTACTTTTAGCGCTGATTTTATCAGTCATGGAAAAGTGGTTAAAAAAATTTGGATTCCAAACAACCATATAAAACTGTTGGGTGACTACTGAGAGGCTAAACTCATGCAGTTATCCTCTCAGGTATGGAAAAAAAATCTAAAAATATTAGTTGGCCACTCACACATTCTACAGAACCAATGTAAGATTCAGCACTATAACTGTATAAAGGTACAAGGATGTATACTAGTAGAGGCAACACGGAATTAAGACCTTTGTGTGCCCAAAGTCCAAACAAAATGCACTAGATATATTTGTCAAGATGTCAGTGTAGTTGAGTGTAAACAAGCTTGTGTGACAAATGTAAACTTGACTTTAATACATTTGTCAATATTCTTTCAATTTTTCTTTAAATTACAAATTTGGTTAGCTCATATGTTTTAACAATGTCTCCAAATAAACAATTGCAAATAAATAGTAGATGTGGAGTGCAACCCATCAATAAATAGAGCTGTAACTTGGAGTGACTGCACTAACAGTTATGAAAGGAGCAATAACTGCGCATATATAATAACTCCTCTAAAATCATGAAAAAAGGACAAACATTTAGGATACAACATATTTGGTATATTATAAAGGAGACAGAAAATTCTCTTTATATTACATTTAAAAATGGTTAGTATCCCACTGTGGTAATCTCTTTGACAAAGGGTTCCAGTTGATGATTCTATATTGAACAGCAAAAATAGCACAATGTACTTTTTCTATGTAGTCATTATTCTATAACTGGAGTTAAATTGGGGAAAGAACAGAAAAAAAATAGTAATAAATGATGATTAGCAGTATTCAGGATATTTGATGGATAAAAATGTAATACCATGTTATTCATTTACATGGGGTTTTACAAATATGTTGATGCGTCCACTGTTAATTTTTTTTTTATTGAAATGAACTCATGACATGACTTTGAAAGATCAGAAGAAAAACAAAATGTTTTATCAAAATAATATTAATTCTATGAGACTATATTTAGTTATTCTATAAGAATATATACATATTTTATTCTTGCTTAAGCTAAGTTATCTGATTTATATTAATTTTCATGTTATATAATGCAAACCTTACTTTTAAAATAAAAAGGTCACTATTATATTAGTTTTTAAAATAATGTAATCTTTAGATTAGATGTACTTAAATATATATATATGATAAAAAAATGAAGATAACTTTAGAAAACAGGATTGCATTTTAACATTAATTTATTGCAAAGATGTTTGCAACTAAATTACACACAGGCTACTTAAAATTGTTACTCCACTTTTGTTGAGAAAAAAATAATTCCCCTCTGGGTGATCTATATACATTGCAAGGATTTTAACACACTTAGTTGCAGATTCCTACCTTTTGTTATTCTGAAGAAAGAGATGGATGTTTGTCTGTGTTCATGTGCAAAATGAATGTGAATGGGAGTGGTTCCTAATTTTCAATCAGCTGCTGTACCTGCAGGGCTCTACTGAGGAAAGTGGCAGGGTCTGCATCCCTTTAGACAGAATTTCCCTTCAGGAGTATCTCACTAAAAATTACAATCGTTGCAGAAGATGACTGAAATCTGACTTAGTGCAGACTTCTGGGAAAATCAGTGAGCTGATCACACAAGCAGGAAATGATGTTGCTGGAGGGCATTCTGTACAAATTGTGCACAGAAAACCTCCAGGTGGCTATAGTGCATTGCATGTTACAGAAAATTACAGAGCTGCTGATTGAAAGGGAAAGGTCATTTTTGATAACATTTAATAACAATATGATTTGTGTCGCAATTGTATATACTATATTATTTTTTTTTTATTTGCCATTTTTTTTTTTCCCACGAAAGCTCATTTACCCTTAACATTTTCTCGGGAACTCTTTTTGCAAGATAGGTCTATCACAATTCCTAGTTCTATTCACCTACCATGGCTGTTATATACCAAAAGACATGATCACCATCTGTGAATGGATTCTTCAAAACACAGTACAAACACATAGCTGTAAAGCACACCTGCTTCTCTCAGTCTCTCAGAGATATACAAAGCTTCCTGGTGATGCAACGTATCAGTGCCCATTTAAAGCTATAATATTCAGCTTGATTTGAGCAACCCTTAAGATTAGGTTGCTCTTAGGTCAAAATATTTCTATTTTGTAATGACTAACGTTACAGCCCTTTATGGCTTTAAATCAGTGGACCTCCTAATAACTCCATGTTACTATAACACTGAGCGAAAAGAGCTTCAAAGAAATGTACATGTATCATAACAACACCAAAGGTGCAGAAAGCAAAAGACATTCCCCCCTTCAACCTCACTCCACACTATAGCTTAGTAGGCCTTTGTAAAATCTATATGTCACATTTATTCACTTTAGCAAAATCAGAAAAGTATAAAATGCATTTAAAGGCAGGGTGAGATTTTATTCATAACACCCATAAACAAGGAAATATTTAAATGCACTTCAAATTTTTTTAAAATTATCTCTACCTCATATCTCATTGTTGTATGTGAGTGCATTCAGGAGCTAATTTCAATATATCGTCTGATAATATGAAAAAACACGCAGCGCTTTATTAAAGTACAACCCATATGCTATCTCATATTATACTTTTTCCTCCTAAACCAGGATAAATGGTAATTCCAAGTATTCACTTCCAAAATGTAATGCTGACAGATTAGTAAATATATGAAACATACAATATATTTTCCACACACATTTTGGAAGGAAAGTTTTTTGAACCGTGTAAAGAGGTAATCGTTTAGCATATTGTCTTGTTTTGATATTTCAAGTAAATTATTAGCAGTTATGGGTAAAATCACAAACTTTTTTTTATTAAATCTAGATTTTAATTCCCATCCTGCACTTTAATTCCAATAAAATAGAACGTGTACAGTGCTTATATATAAATCCCTCTCACCTGAACAAGCAAAAAGTTTGGTTCTGATAAAATAAAAAATTCCTATTATGAGATACAAAAATATGTAACAAGAGCTTATTGTTAGACGTCTGAATACTTATCTGTGTTCTTTTCATTAATCTTGTATGATCCTATGTCCTGTACATTTTCCTGGTAATATACTTTGGTTTATCAGAAACAATACTTACATACATTAAAGCCAATGTGTAGTTTTATACACAATTTTATAAAGTGCAAGTAAAGTATGGCTATTTTAGAAGTAATATAAACATGTCCTGAGGAAACGTATTACCCTATGACAGTGCCATAGGGGCAGAAGAAGTGACTTCTGGGTAAAGCAATTGGGGTGGTTACTTTTGACCAAAAGAAGACACTTACGGTTTGCCTTACATATACTCAGGTTAGAGTTTGGTGTCTGTTATCAGCTGGGATTCAGTCACTACATTCCATACTTGCTTTAGGTCCCACAGATAAGACAGTTCTTGTGGGAAGCATATGTGACATTGCTCCAGCAGCAATTGGGACTTGCCCTGTCATGTCTCTGGAGGTAAACGTTCAGTGCATAGTTCATGCAAGTGATTTCCTCAGCTGCTTACATTGCAGTCCTGAATTTCTATTTAAGACAAAGTATTTGCAGTGCATATTTCACTTGTTTGTGTTTTCTGTACAGTCTTCTGGTATTTTTTTCTTCCGAGCAGCTTCTCTCAGAGATTCTGTCAAGATTTTCTAACTCATTAAATCTCTCAGCTACGCATTGGGCAGTGAGCCTGGCCTCTGGGTCATGGTCCCAACATTCTGTTATGGTTTCACATACAAGCTGGATACCCTGGGGAAAGATATAGAAATTATTATATGGTGTATAAGTAAATATAAATAATATATTTTCCTACATACTGCTTAAAGTTGATCTCTAAGTATCTAAAAACACAGAAGAAATATATTTGAGAGCTGTTATACAAGCAAAAGGATTTGCATTTCTGTATATCTAGTCCTGAGATTTACATAGCCCCTCACATAGCACAGCTATGTGGGCTACACTACTTACAGTTAAGGAAATCAATGATGTTTTCTCCACCCCAGCCTGTTGACTAGTCAATGAAAAAGCAGCCCCAGGCTAATGAAATCATCCATCAGCTCACTACTCTTCCTACCACCATATTCCTTTATAGCATATTTGCAAGCAGCACACCTGATTGGTTCCCAGTCTGCTCCTCCTTTTCCAGTGTGGCTGCTGATGTGCAAGAGATCACAAGATGCTGATTCAATGGACTGGTTTAAGTGATTATACAAAATTAATTAAAAATAATACATGTAAAGTGTATCTTTGGGCAAAATCGAAAAATGACATATACATATATGCAGTCTGTCACTAGCATTGACATTGAAAATTTGCCTGTCAGTAGATCAGTTGTTTTTTGATTTCCTGTAATAAGGTGATAAACAAATTTAAAATATTGCAACAGGTTTTTCTATTCTTTTCGGAATAAATATAAGCAGACCATTTCAAACACCACTGCTAGTGTTATATGGTTTGTCTCAGGTCCTCTAACCGCCACTTCAGCTGGATAGCTTGGCCTGTTAGGGAAGTGCAAAATCCACAGATTTACTGACAGGATTCATTCGTAATAAAACCATGTCACATTGGGAACAAAAAGAAAATGATTATATTAATGATAGTGACGTACTGCATCACATTTGTCAACAATTTTTATGAAATTCCTTGAGGGACACAGGGATTCCTAGAATAATGGAATATACTGCTGCCTGCAGATGATTTGGACGCTGGCAAACAAAAAATAATGACTAGTTTGGGATAACCCCTCTGAGACAGACCCAACCAGGACAGGGGCCTTTGGAGGGGACTGCAGTCTAGCCTCTTGCCTACTGACCATGGCCCTGGCATCTGAGGGGTCTCTATTCTTTGGTGTCTGCCTGGGAGGACCTTTGGAACAGTTTACTTTGGATTCAAGTCCATGTCTCCCCAAAACATACAGACTTTGAGAACTGGAGAACCAGGATACAGATTTGGGGTCTCTGTGCCCAAACCAGCACTGACTGCTTTAACCTCCCCCCCCCTTCCTATACTCAGAGACTAAGCAGATGTTGATATAATCAGCTAAAAACAACCTCATGCTGAGGACTCTTGCCTACATGATAGGATTAGACTGATGTCAGCTTCACCTTGTTACCTAATCAATGTGGGATGTTTATCCTAATGTATATTTGTGTTTATTGTTCCTGTGGGCACTGCCCCTATTTCAGGAGTGTATAATAAATCTGAGATTTCTGTTCAATAAAGGAGTTCCAGTTTTGGCATCTAAGCTAGTCTCATCTAATCTTGGGTGCAATGCCCAGCTTTAATACCTTGATCCTGTGTCTCAGTGGCAGGGAAACAGTTCACTGGCAGAGTCACCCAATCGGGGTGACAGGCGTTCCGTCACATTTTTTCGTATGTGAAGGAACACCTATCACCCTCAATTGGGTGACTGAAAGTAAAGAAAAGGCATCCATCTTTCTAGAAAACTAGCAAAAAATATAGACATGCTAGGAGTAGGAGGGATTATACCAGACTGGTCATTGTTTTTTTGTTTAACAGCATCCAAATCTTCCTGCAGTGTATCCCAATAAACTATGAAACCTGTGTCCCTCAATGAACAAGAAAGAAATACTGTTTTCTCAAAGGCATTTCAAAGTGAACTAAAACCTGACCCACTGTTGTAATAACATTGTTTATCAAAGAAAAGTGATACTCCTTACTGCATAAACCCAGGTTTATTAGGCCTGGAAATTAAAATTATTTTCTCTTAACCGGCAACTGCTTGGGGGTGGTAATATTGCTGGTGGACAGTCAATAGAAAAGGATAATCAATCAGGCTAATTTACAAAAATAGTGCAGAAAAAAAAAGAACCATGACCCATAAGAACCTAACAGATGTTACTTCATTTGAAAGAAGAAACCTTATTAGTTGGAATGAACATTTTTATCCTTTGTTTTTACCTTTGGTATATTAGCTCAATGTGTGACAAAGTCTCCAAATAAGCATAAGAAGATTCACTCTGATCTGTTGTTAAACTAAAATTAATCATGGAAAAAAAACTTTATGCAATTTATCTTTGTCATTTATCTGAATGGCAATTAATAACAGTTTAAAAGAAGTAATGTTTTGTTTCAGAAGTGCTAAAACACATGGAGTCATTTTAGGTCAAACAATATCTCCAGAACAATTATGGACTGTCTTTACTAAACTACATTATTATTCAAGGTCAATGGTTCAGAAAGTATTATCTTGGTCATCACTGAAGCCTGATCTTAGAACAGGTGAAAAAGAGTGCTGCAGAAGAAACTGATTTGTTATGGCAGCAAATGTACTTGATATATTTGTTATTGATATCAGAAATACATTACATTAAAAAAACATAGCTAAATAAATATTTGATTAATATGTTATTTTTTTACCTGGTGATTCAACCAACTATTGGAAATTTCAGGTCGACCTCGATCTCTGAGGACATTATCCTTCATGCTTTCAACGCATGGGTGCTCTCGTACTTTGGTTCCAAATGGAGGTTCATAATCTTTTACTTCTACAAAAAATAAATCAGATTATTTAATATTTAATGTTATTTTTCCAATGTATATAAGACCTTTCATATGTAATATGTTTCCTGAGACTTATGAAAGCTGTAATGTTTACTCCAAATCTGGATGTGGATGACCATTGTAAAAATGCCACAACAAAAAGCAATCTTTATTCTTACCAAACTATGTTAGTATCATGCAGAAGTGGGCTGTACTAAAAACAATAAATAAGTGCCTGCATAGGCCACTCTGTCTACAGTTAGCTATCCATGGATCAAGTATAGTTCTGAAGGTGATTCTGTTAATACTGACCGGCTTGACAAAATCAATGTTTTTAACTCACTTTTGCTGAAGATGCCAGACAGAAAAGTCTTGGCAGAAACAATGTTTGCATCCAATCAGATACTAACACTGTTTGGGTAGTTTGGCTGCTGCAGGTTCTGGCTCTCAGATTACAATAACCAGAACTGCAGATTTTGTCCATCCCCACTGTTTATTGTGGATGAGGAGATCGAGTGATTTCTCTTGTTCAGACTACAGGGCTGAATTAGAGAAATCTTAACATGTATGGCCAGCTCAAGGCTGTCTATCAATCTTTATTATATGGTTGATTTAGCTGAACATTTATGCTGGTTTAACATGTTCCCACCCGGCCTATAGCAGATTGACGACCGGGCGGTCCTTTTCTCCCTGTGACTGGGCGTCATATGACATCCTGTGCATCAAGCCGCGCCCCCTTGGGGGCACGCAGCGTGGCTGCTGCTGTCAGGCTGTTTCCCTCAGACACAGCGCTTCCTCGCTGAAGGTAAAGAGACAAAAAAATTGGCTTTTTACCACGTGATCGGCTGTGACAGGTCACAGCCGATCATACATATAAACACACAGCGGTCACTCAGTGTTGCTATCTTCTCCTCCTCACACATCGATCTTGTGTGAGGAGGAGAACCTAGGAACAGTGAGTTTTTAAAACCCTTTCACTACTGTGCACCACACTGCCCCTAATAAAAAAAGTCCCTTTCAGTGCCACCAGTGGATCTGTCAGATCAGCCCATCAGTGGATCTGTCAGTGGAGTCATTAGTGGCTTTATCAGTGCTGCCTCAGTGGATCTGCCAGTGCTGCCATTAGTGGATCTGCCAGTGCCGACATCAGTGGATCTGCCAGTGCCGACATCAGTGGATCTGCCAGTGCAGCCCATCAGTGCATCTGCTAGTGCAGCCCATTAGTACACAGCCCATCAGTGGATCTGTCAGTGCCACCATCAGTGCATCTGTCAGTGCCATCAGTGGATATGTCAGTGCCGCTATCAGTGCATCTGTCAGTGCACAGCTCATCAGTGGATCTGTCAGTGCAGCCCATCAGTGGATCTGTCAGTACAGCCATCAGTGGACCCGACAGTGCAGCTCATCAGTATACCTGTCAGTGCATTCATCAGTGCAGCCCATCGATGTACCTGTCACCACAGCCATCAGTGCAGCCTAATCAGTGTACTTGTCACAGAGTTGACACAACTGCTGCCCCCATCATTGTACCCATCACAGTCATCCATCAACAGTTTACCCCTCATACAGCCACAATCATCAGAGCTGCAATGTCCAAAAAATATTTTACTAGTGAGGAGGCGCTCAAAATCCTCAGCATGTCGGATGAGAGCAGCGAGGAGCTCTCACCATCTGATTCTGATTCAGAATACGAGCCAGTAGAAAGTAGTGGGTCAGTGACCGAATCAGTGGAGGAAGCAGTCCCTCCTAAAAGGATACGGTGCTCTGAAAAGCAGGCAATACACCCCAATGGTCAATCCGCAGACACCAATGCCGCTAGACCCCAGGAGGAAAGACCCAGTACCAGCACTGAAGCATCCCACCAGATCCCAAGAATTGGGGCCAAAACATATCTTCCTGATGCCCTGTCAATCCCACTATAGCTGCCTTCCAGCTCAGGATCAGCTTCAATCCCCCCTTTCAACGCAAAGCTAGGTGTGCAGACCAATACTGAAAATTTTTCTGAAATTGATTTTTTTTTTACTTGTTTTGCCCTGCTGATTCACTTCAATACATTGTGGACCAGACAAACCTTTTTGCTCAGCAGTATATTGATAACAATCCTAGTACACTATATGCCCGTCCTTTTCTATGGAGACGTCTCACAGTGGAGGAGTTAAAAATTTTTTCGGGCCTTAAGTTTAACATAGGGCTTACAAAAAAAGTGAATTGCACTTTTTTATGCCCTATTGGTCCACCAATCACATGCATCATATGCCCTTCTATTCTGCTTTAAGGCCCGGTCACGCTATGATCTGATCATTCGATTCCTGCATTTCAATGATAACTCACAGTGCCCCCCCCCCCGAGATCATCCTAACTATGACAAGCTATACAAAATTCACCCCCTAATAAATTCTTTTGCTAAGAGATTTGTGGAACTTTATGTCCCTGAGCAACAATTTGTGTGGATGAATCCCTTGTCCACTTCACTGGCCGGCTGGAATTCAAGCAATACATTCCCAGTAAAAAGGGCCAGGTATGGATTGAAGCAGAACAAGCTCTGTGAAAGAGCAACAGGATATGCGCATGCATTCTGCATGTACGAAGGCAAAGACTCCCAGCTCCAGCCCCCTGAGTGTCCAACCTACATTGGCACAAGTGGCAAAATTGTCTGAAACCTGGCATTCCCACTGTTCTAAAAAAGTTATTATATCTACATTGATAACTATTATACCAGTCTGCTCCTTTTCTGGCATCTGTACTGTGAGAAAACCTTAGTTTGCGGTACCACCCGAAAAAATAGAAAGGGCTTCCCATAAAGTTTAGTAACCACACGGCTACAAAGTGGTGAAGTCTGAGAAACGAGGAAGTGTTGGCCATGAAGTGGAGGAATAAGAGAGATGTTTACATCTTGTCCACCATCCACAATGACACCATGGTGGAAATTCACAGAAGATGCGGTCCAACCAAAAACCTGAATGTATCTACAATTATAATTGGTTCGTGGGGGGGTGGATTTAAATGATCAGATGCTACAGCCCTATTTGTCAACAAGAAACTCCCTCTTCTGGTATAAAAAAAGTTGCAATTTATTTTTTCCATTTGGCCATTTACAATGCGTTTGTCATCTATCAAAAGTCAACAGAAAGCCCCACCCAAATATATAGAGGGAATTATCACTGCCCTGATATACCAGGAAGGATCCCCCCCCAGAAAACATTCACTCTGATTGTGTGAGCAGACTTCATGAGCAACATTTTCCAGAAAACAGTCCACCCACAGAATCAGGAAGAAGACGCCAAAAATGTTGGGTATGCAGCAGTTAGTCGAGACATCAGTGTTCATTGTGCCCAATGTCCCTCCCAACCGAGCCTATGTATTGAGACTGCTTCCGACGTTATCACACGTCACTAAAATATTAGTTCCCCTTATTTTTAACAGCCTGCCATTTCCCAGTTTCTAAAATCCATGCTGATCATTTGCCTGCTGCCTTGATTGACCATGCCTTTGCCTTCCACATTAAGTGACCCTGGCCTGTTTACCGACGATGCCTCTCCCTACTGTCTGCATTGTATCTAAACCACTTTTCTGCCATCCACCTGAACTGACGTTGGCCTGTATACCGACAATGCTGTTGTCTTTCGTCTGGGTTGTTTCTAAACCACGTTTCTGCCTTCCACCTGCACTGACCGGCCTGTAAAATTGACCATGTTTTTTGCCTGCTGCTTGAACTGGTCTTTTGCCCTGCTACTATAGTAGTGGGATGCAAGATAACACAGGGGTCTCACATACAGTATTGTGAGGGGCTTCAGAGTAGAGAAAACCAGTTTTTTGTTTTCACCGGGTTTTGTAATTTCCAAATGAGGGTCTGTTAATCCAGAGGCTTTGAAGAGATTGGGTGGGATGAAGCCTCTACCCCTGTGGCCAGGTCTTACCTGACCGAGGCCCTAAGCCTGATGTTCCTTCCTGCTGCCTGGACCAGTACTGTGCTAACCATATCTCTGCCTACTGCCTGTAATGACCCAGGAGTTTTCATGGACCATGTTCTTGCCTGCTACCTGAACCAGTACTTTGGCTATGCTGATCATATCTCTGCCTGCTGCCTCTAATGACCCAGGACTTTTTTTGGACTATGCCTGGACTATTCGTTTGCCTATTGCTGACCTTTGCCTGCTTCCTGGACCACTGATCTCCTCTGCAGATTTCTCCACTATAACCTCAGGTCATTTTCTGTTTACCCTTTGTTTAGCTAGGCTGTGAAAAAGTCTCATGCATGTGGTATCACCATACGCAAAAGGAGTAGCAGAATATATTTTGGGGTGTAATTCTTGCTATGTCCATGCAGTGTTTTTAGAAATATCTTATAAATTGACAAATTTGTGTAAAAAAAAGTTTTCATTTTCTTTTCCACATTTTTTAAAAACACGTGGAAAAAATTGACATGTTCAAAAGACTCATTATGCCTCGTAGAATATATATTGGGGTATTTGCTTTCCAAAATGGGGTCATTTTGTCAGTAATGCCATTGTCCTAGTGCTCCTGGTCCTTCAAAAATGTGATAGGTAGTCAGGAAATTAAAAGTGTAATTTATGCCTCTAGAACGCCTGATGGTGCTACTTGGATCTTGAGCTTCTGTACAGTGAAGGAAATAAGTATTTGATCCCCTGCTGATTTTGAATGTTTGCCCACTCACAAAGAAATGATCAGTCTAAAAAACGGAATGGTAGGTGTATTGTAACACTGAGAGACAGAATAGCAATAAAAAAATTCAAAAGAAATGCATGTCTAACAAATGATGCACTGATGTGCATCTTCATGAGGGAAATACGTATTTGATCCCCTATCATTCAGCAGGATTTCTGGCTACCAGGTGTCTTTCATAAAGGTAACAAGCTGAGATTAGAAGCAGTCTCTTAAAGGGAGTGATGCTAATCTAATTTTGTTACCTGTATAAAAGACACCTGTCCACAGGAGCAATCAAACAATCAGATTCCAAACTCTTCACCATGGGAAAGACCAAAGAATTGTACAAGGATGTCAGGGACAAGATTGTAGACCTACACAAGGCTGGACTGGGCTACCAAACTTGTCAGGGATCTCCGCGATCTCCGCAGCGATGGTCCTGGCGCAGGCGCAGTGCGCCGCCCTGTGCAGGGACGCGGCACTAGGTCCGGGCCGGCCGCGGCGTTCGAGTTCACGCATGCACAGTAGAAGACACGGCCGCCTGCTGGGCACCAATGGCAGTGCAGGGCGCGATATTTAAACGGCCCTGAGCTGTCATTCAGTGCCTTCTGGTCTTACCTGCATTCCTGAATCTGTGAACCTGTGCCTTGTGAGTTATTGACCCGGATTGTACCTGACCTTGCCATATTCTCCTGTCGTGACCCTTGCTTTGTCTGACCTCTCTCCTGGATGCCCCCTATCGTATCTGACCTGCTGTTGCTGACCTGGTGTGTGACTCAACTATTCTCTGCCCGCTGCCTTGTACCGCACCGTCCTCTCTGTTACCGACCCAGCCTGTCTGACCTTGCTATTGCTCAACCATCCATCCATCCATCCCTCGCAGTGGGGTCTTCAGACCTCCTCATATCATACTCTTTCCCGTGGGAGCCCTCGGCGTATACCACTACCACTGACGGACATACCCAGTAGCCACGACCTGGTCTTGGGGTGCTCCAAGTCCATCCCCACCATCAGGGGCCCTGGTGAACAAGCACTCTGGGACTTAGATTCCGTGCGCTGGGGACGCCTATTCAGTGGAGTGCTAGTGGTACCGCCGGGCAGTCCCTTACAAAACTATTGCCAAGTAGCCTGGTGAGAAGGTGAAAACAGTTGCTGCAATCATTCGCAAATGGAAAAAACACAAAACAACTGTCAGTCTTCCTAGGTCTGGTGCACCATGCAAGATCTCACCTCGTGGAGTGTCAATGATCATGAGAACAGTGAGGAATCATCCCAGAACTACACGTGAGGATCTTGTCAATGATCTCCAGGCAGCTGGGACCACAGTCACCAATAAAACAATTGGTAACACACTACGCCAACAAGGATTGAAATCCTGCAGTGCCCGCAAGGTCCCTCTGCTCAAGAAAGCACATGTCCAGGCCCATCTGAGGTTTGCCACTGACCATCTGAATGATGCAGAGGAGGACTGGTTGAAAGTGTTGTGGTCAGATGAGACCAAAATTGAGCTCTTTGGCATCAACTCAACTCGCCATGTTTGGAGGAGGACGAATGCTGCCTATAACCCCAAGAACAATCTCCCAACTGTCAAACATGGTAGTGGAAACTTTCTGCTTTGGGGGTGTTTTTCTGCTAAGGGGACAGGACAACTGCACCGCATCAAAGGGACGATGGACGGGGCAATGCACCATCAAATCTTGGGTGAGAACCTTCTTCCCTTAGCCAGGGTATTGAAAATGGGTCATGGATGGGTGTTCCAGCATGACAATGACCCAAAACACTGGCCAAGGCAACAAAGGAGTGGCTCAAGAAGAAGCACATTAAGGTCCTGGCGTGGCCTAGCCAGTCTCCAGACCTTAATCCAATTGAAAATCTGTGGAGCTTGGGTGAGAACAACCAGTGGCGATCAAACAAAAAAAAAACAGTGGTGACCAAACACCACCAAACGAAAGCTCTATCTGTCTCAAAAAAAGGATAACAGTTTCATATGGGTACAGTGTTGCATGACTGAGTAATTATCACTAAAAATGTGATAGTGCTGAAAGCTGAAAATTAGCCTGGACTGGAAGAAGATGAAAGTGTCCGGACTTGAAGGGGTTAAAGTCCAAATGTATGAAAAAAAAAAAAAAATAAAAAAATATATATATATATATATATATATATATATATATATACACACACAATTCAAATCTATACACATTAAAAGCTTTACAATTTATCACAGTGCCTAATTTATCTTTCCTGATGCTCTACAGAAAGTGTTTAATTTTACAAAATTAAGAAAAAACAAACAAACAGTAATTAAAATGTTTTGTGGCTGCTGTACACATGACCTTTAGAGGGCAAGCTTTTATAATTGCAACATTTGCAAAATGTTTCGGCTTCTTCTACTTTATCTAGTTTGTTATTGTAACCTCTAACTAATGCTCAGTGACAGAACAATTTACGCATCAGAGCCTTGGGGGATATGGCTCCTGTAAATATTCATATAGGCCATTCTACTGCTGAGGTCTAATGAAAATACCAAGAGGGGAGATACATTCAGCTCGTGTTGTTTTGAAAAATCAAGACACTGCAGGAATTTGTTCAAGGGCTGCTGTGTAAGACACAAAGTATAATAATTTACAATGGTATGCCATGGTTACTAATGCCTTCACCTTAGATTACCTTCTTTAAAATCACAGCAAGAAATAGATACAGCTCAAGTACTGGGGAAAATGTGTTCTTGCCCTTTGGTCATTATAATTATTGGTATTGCTTAGTACAATTTAAAAGCGTGAAACTCTGCACAGCATTTATGAATTAATTTGAATATATCTGCGACAATAAAAGTAAATATTTTCTTAGAGCACATCTAACCCCCAAAACAAAAATGTACTATATTGCATTAATTTTTTTCTCCTTTATTTTCACCTGGTGGTCTGGACAGTAACATACTTCTTGTCCTAGGGTGGCTCCTTTACTTCTGGAGGAGCAACAGAGACACCTTTGGACAGCAGCAATGTCCTTATAATTTTGTGTTACTAAATGTACTAGCAGATTTAAATGGACTTGGCTAACAAATCAAAGCTGAATTCCAGCTAACGCATTAAAGCAGTTACTGAAACAGTTTATTTTACTTTTTGGATAAAGGTTTTGCATAGATTAAAAAAGCTGATCTTTGTGAGCACCCCTGCCAGTGTTAAATAGTTTGTCTCAATACTCTTAACTGCTGTCTTTGCTGGACAGCTTAATTTTTCAAAGGGAAGTTGAAAAGTAACAGGCAGGACTAGAATAGAGATATGTGAGTTACAGCTGATGACTTCTTCTGCCTGGTATAACCTTCTGGACTGTCATTGTTTTTCTTGGTGCACCAAGTAAATCAATGCCCCACAGCTAGTATGGAACAAGGTATTCACTGGGGTTTATTTACTAGTGAAAAACAAAATGTTCAATTTGCAAAGTAAATGTTCACATAGCTTAGATAATAACGTAATATTTAGCAACAATATACACAAAAGATTACACATTGTAAGTGTTGTTACCAATACATCAAGTCCTAGTTTAGCAGGTAAAAATATAATATCAGAACATGGTTAACTGTAGGAAAGATAGCTTACAGCAGCAATAATGAGCAGTAAACAGTGAAAAATCAAGTTAACAAACTTGCTGAGAACAGATGACTGGTGTAGTCGTGGAGATGAAGAATGCAACAACAGGCCGAAACATATGTCAAAGGCAGGGGGAGAATCTGATGTCCAGCCATAAAGGTTTTATATTCAAAGAGTCAGAAAAAGAGGTAGGGAATAAAAGAAAGCAAGGAAAATGAGAGAAGTAAGGAGAAAAAAAAGTGGGGGGTTAGGTGTTTGGTGGGTGGGGGGTAAGAGAGCCAGTAAATGGTCCGTCACAGAGCCACTGCATCCATGTCTACATATGATTAGCTGCAAGGAGCTCCATGTATCTCTTGGAGAAAGTAAATTGAGTCCAGTAGAACCATATCTGTGGAATCGGGCCACTTGTTTCCTCAAGGACGAGGTGAGGTTCTCCATACACTTAATTTTGTTCACTGATTTAATCCACTGGGTCACCAATGGGATGACATAGATTTCCACTGTGCTGGGATACATGCCCTGGCTGAATTAAGGATCTGTCGAACTAATGAGTGGTGGTATTTTCATTGGACAGTGAACTGAGGTAGAGGAGACATGCAGCCAGCTCTTGCTCAAGAGACAGATCGATGAGATTGTGAATCAAGGAGCAGACATCTCACCAAAAAGGGTGGATCCACAGACATGACCAAAAGGAATGGGGTATCATATCCCTAGCCATGCCATATCTCCAGCAGTCAGGGCTGACATCTGGGGACATGCAGTGTAATCTCTCTGGGACTCTACATCAGCTTACAACCTGATTCCTGTATCCTCAAAGAGAGTGTGAAAAAGAGAAAGAACTTTCTTTTTCTGGTGGTCAAATGCAAATCCAAATCACTTTCCCATGCAATGAGGAATGGGAGGATATACTTCTCTGAATGGGAAACCAATGGCGTATTTGCGGCCTTTTATATACTTACCTTTTCATATATCTTAAAGGATGAGTTCACCTTTGGTAAAATGCTACTAAGGATCACCTGCTGCAATCCCCCCCCCCCCCCCACCTCTCCCCTAACCTCTTGTTACAGTTCAAAAATAGCGCAGATGTTCGGGGCTCCGTCCACACGACCGTGACAATCATTCAGATTTTCCAGCGAATTAATGCACTACAATTACCAATGGCAGACAGTGTGTAGTTCTCAATGAACTGCAAGGATGCTGGTGAGTGCTCTCATTGTTTACTGACACTTCCTGCACTTCATCAACTGTTTGCCCATACGGGAGGATGATGGAAAGACAGCTGAGTGTTCTGCAGGATCCTGGCATTCTAAATTGAGACCACCAAACAACATACTAATTTATTCCCCTGAGCAAACAGTACACCCAGAACTGCTGGTTTCCAGAAAATACTGCATACAGCTTAATATTATAAAATAATTTATTCCAAGCTACAAAAAGTCTACCTCACCAAAACCTTTTTCCAACATTTTCATTGCTTTTTATGACAAAGTTCACATGTGTTATCGTTAGATTAAGTACTATTGGTAGTTTGTTTGAATGAGCTTTAAAAATAGAAAGTGCTTTTCTGTATCACAAATAAAAAAAACATTGGTCTAAAAAAATGCATTAGCCTGTGTATTTTGTAAAATGTAAGGTAGTATTACATCATCATACATACTATAACAAAGCACACAATTATATTGGTTTAGTTACCTCCAACTGCATTACAACGGGATGTTATTTCCCATAATACCAGTGCCATGGAATACACATCTGTTTGTTTAAATGATTCCATGTTTTCCAAATTTATTCTTGATTCAAGGACTTCTGGGGCCATATATCTGGCAGTTCCAACCTGCAGATATAAACATACAATGTAAACATTAAAATCATATGAACAATGCGTTAATTACTGTGCATGTTACTGCACACAGCACTGCAGTATGCACACATTAATGCATGACATTGCCAGTCATTCTGAATGGCATCTAGAAGCACTAATGTAACTGACATGCACTACAGGGCACCACAAAGCACTAATGTGCATTGCTATCAAGAGTCAAAGCAGAACATTAGTTAAAGTATAACTAAAAGCAAAACTTTTTTTTAGTTTTGGATTGAGTAGAGAGAAATTAGAACACCTATGAAGTTTTATTTTGCTGTCTGTGCCCCCATTAGGAAGATTTGTCCTCTCTATTTGTCCTGTTTATCATCACCACCAAGAGTGAAAGCGAAAGTGAAAGAAAAGCCCAAGTTTTGGGTATCACCAGAACAGGAATAGAGGGGAAATCTTCCAATTGGGACACTAGATCCTGGGACCTTGGTGACAACCAGAGATTCTCTCACTTTGAAGGGATTTTCTCTCACTTTCTGTTTTGACTGTGAATAGAGAACTCCCCAATGAAACACAAACGGTAAAAAGAAAATAAAAAACATTACACGAGTTACAAACCTCTCTTACTCTAGCCACGATAAAATAAAGTTTTGCCTTTATTTCAACATTAATGTACTCCTGTGATCCAAAACAAAAATATAGTCAAAAAAGTTTGGCCATAACTCTCTCTACTAACACAATGCAGGTTAATGTGTGGTATAGAACACATTGAGAGTTATTTACTAAAACTGGAACGTGCAAAATCCGGTGCAACCCTGCGTAGAAACCAACCAGCTTCCAGTTTTTTTCTGGCCTAATTGAACAAGCTGAAGTTAAACGTTGATTGGCAACCATGCACAGCTGCACCAGATTCTGAGTGCAACAGTTTTAGTTAATCTCCCCCATTATTCTGTGTGCAGTAACACATTGCAACACACTGCAAAACCCCAAATTCACCCTTCCAAGTGGCCTCCTTAAGTTGAAGGCTACTGATCTCTATGTGAGAACTGCAGCTTCTCTACAACTGTCTGCAACGTGTTAATTACTGTGCTGCAAACATCATTTCTGATGCTGCCTCCTGATTTGATTGTAAAATGGACGAGATTTTGATTCGCTGATGCTGAAGCTTGCTTACTTCTACTCAACATGAAACATAATACTGGAAGCAACACTACATAAATACTTTCATGATCAAGAAAAATAGACTTACACTAGTATTATGATTTAGACACAGGGATGGACATGGCAGCGCTACATTACAATATTATAATCCTGCTATTTTATCCAACAAGTTAACAATAATTTCTTATTTTTATGTCTCTGAGATTTTCTTTTTGCTTCCTATTCAAGTAACAGGGGGGCAGGAAATGTCTTCTGCACAGACACAGTGGATTATACAGTATAATAGTTGGAATGTCTGTCAGGTTTACATTTTGTTCCCATTATGGATATTTTCCCTTTACTTTCTTCCCAGGCAACACCCATGTCTCAGGTTCTGACAGGGATACCTCTAGGCACAAGACCCTACTCATTCTACACTGTGGACAATTTAAAAGTCATTGAAGAGTGCTTTACCAAGCAAAGCAATTCCCGATGCCCATCATGCTTTTTATACAATATGTGATTTCTAATACAATTTTCAGACTTACCTGCCCACTGTTAGCAAGATCATCCACTGAAAGAGATGGATCCAGCCAGAGAGATAATCCAAAGTCACATAAACAACACGTGAGATCATTTTTAACAAGTATATTTGAGCTTTTCAAGTCTCGATGCACTATTGGAGTCTTTGGTCTTCCACATGGTGTATGGTCACTATGTAAATGGGCAACCCCACGAGCTAAAGAGCCGCCAAGCAGTAGGAGGTCTTCCCAACTAATGATGTGTCTTGTTAAGTATTCCTGTAAATTGCCTTTGGAGTGAAAGGCCGTGATTAACCAGTATTGCTTTCCAATATCTGTTTTCCTCTCTTCAGCAGTCAAAAACTGTAAAACATTTTCGTGTTTTAGATTTATATCCGAAAAGATTTCTTTCTCCATTTTCCAAGATGCATATTCTTCATAAGGAAAAATTTTGACGGCCACTGTTTCAAATTGGTCTGAAGTATTCTGTTTGAGCTTGGCTTTGTAAACTTCAGCAAATCTTCCCTTTCCAACCAAGGTGTCCAATTCAATGGGAAGAAGTTCAGTGTTGTGATTTAGGTTGTTGGCACATGTCGAGCTTATATCTGAACGGTCATCATCTAACATAATGGAACATTCCATATTTGGGTGTTTGATACATTTTTGGTTACTTTCCCACTTCTTGTCGAGCTTAATTTTTCTATGAATTCGGTAGCAATAAAAAATGGAGATTACTGCAACTGCAATAACAACTGGTGGAAGAAGACTTGCCAGTGCAACAATAGTTGTGTCAGGGCCGCCAGGATTTCTAAGTTCTAAAAACAAAGTAAAGTGATTAAAAAAGGAATGAATAAGAATGCATTGACATAACTGAGCATGTGATATGTTTTACTAACACAATAAAAAAGTTCAAGAACACTTTAAAGTGAACTTATGCTCCCCTTAAAAGTTTTAAAAATAAAGTTCTGCCTAAGAACAGACACCATTATGCCCATGCAATTAACAGTATAAGGCATAAAAGATCATATGTGCCTCTCTCTGATTTATTTTCCCTTTGTCCTTGAGGTCTAATTTTTACTGCCATCACTGCTAAGCTCTATCCAATGAGCATGCCCTTTTTGGCCACCAAAGCACTCTCAATGGACCATGATAAAGCAACTGGGCTAAGCCATGACGTTAAGTACAGAATGTAATAGGGGTCAATGTGAACTTAAAATCCAGATTGTGAAAGCAGAACCGTTTTGTGTACTCAACATTTGCAAATGATGACCAGTTCTAGTGTTATTTACAATAATAAAGCACAGTTAAAATTATAACAGCAAGGCAAATAGTTTTTTCAGTTTTGTATAATAAAGTAAAGAAAAGTTAGAACTTCTGTCAAGTCTTTTCATATATTTTTGATGGTGAACACTGTCACTCACCAGAACAGGGGAGATGATACCTTTCACTGGAGACAACTGTTAAGAGGAGGGACCTCCACTCACCTTGGAAAGATCTCTGCTCATTTCCTACTATGACAGTTAAAAACTGAAAAGTGCTTGATATTAAACATGGAGATGCTGCATGTTGAAAAAACCTTTGTGGTCATTAAGCAACTGCTGCCCCTACTCCATAAAAATGCAATACACCTTCAACCATATACAGTATATGCATATATACATATACATACACTTTCTTGCCAAAAGTATTGGGATGCCTGCCTTTAGACGCACATTAACTTTAATGGCATCCCAGTCTTAGTCCGTAGGGTTCAATATTGAGTTGGCCCGCCCTTTACCGCTATAACAGCTTCAGCTCTTCTGGGAAGGCTGTCCACAAAGCTTAGAAGTGTGTCTATGGAAATGTTTGAGCATTCTTCCAGAAGCACATTTGTGAGGTCAGGCACTGTTGTCGGACAAAAAGACCTGGCTCACGGTCTCTGCTCTAATTCATCCCAAAGGTGTTCTATCGGGTTGCACACCGTCATGTTGGAACAGGAAGGGACCATCCCCAAACTGTTCCCACACAGTTGGGAGCAAGAAATTTTACAAAATGTCTTGGTATGCTGATGCCTTAAGAGTTCCCTTCACTGGAACTAAGTGGCCAAGCCCAACCCGTAAAAACAACCCCACACCATAATCTCCCTTCCACCAAACCTTACACTTGGCATAATGCAGTCAGGCAAGAACCATTCCCTGGCAACCACCAAACCCAGACACTTCCATTGGATTGCCAGACAGAGAAGCATGATTCATCACTCCAGAGAACACATCTCCACTGCTCTACAGTCCAGTGGCGGGGTGCTTTACACCACTGTATCTGACATTTTGCATTGAACTTGGTGATGCAATGCTTGGATGCAGCTGCTCGGCCATTGAAATCCATTTCATGAAGCTCTCTATGCACTGCTGTTCTGCTCATCTGAAGGATACATGAAGTTTGAATGTCTTTAGTAACTGACTCTGTAGACAGTTGGTGACTTCTGAGCACTGTACACTTCAGCATGCGCTGACCACACACTGTCATTTTATGCGGCCTACCACTTCGTGACTGAGTTGCTGTTGTTCCCAGTTGATTACACCTTGTTATAACACCACTAACAGTTGACCGTGCAATATTTAGTAGCAAGGAAATTTCATGGATGGACAGATGGCAACCTATCACGGTATCACGCTTGAATGCACTGGGCTCCTGAGAGTGACCCATTCTTTCACAAATGTTTGTAGAAATATTCTGCATGCCTAGGTGCTTGATTTTATACACCTGTGGCCATGTAGGTGATTGGAAGACCTGAATCCAATGATTTGGAGGGGTGTCCTAATACTTTTGGCAATATAGTGTATGTTAGAACAGACTATTAGCATTGTTGGAGAACATGCACACCACTGAGCTCCACTGCCCCCCATCTATACCACTGAGCACCAGTGTCCCCGCTACCCACAATGAGCACCACTGCCTCCCTATCGTTGTTGCTTATACAAAAGCACCCTTCATGCAATGGCTTGTACGTTAACTGTGTGTCATCAATACCATAAGTTATATAAAACTAATTTAGTACTACAATAAAATAACTAGATTCAACTAATGAACATACTAGAAATATAATGGACCATAAATAATTTGATCAAGACCATTGTTTTGTTTATCTTTTCTTGAAATCTGTTTGCTTCTCCTTCAATTATTCATATTTGTATAGTGCTGACATATTATGAAATTAATCCATTTTAAAAATGAAAAACTAGAGTACGCAGCAAGTAGTGCTAGTCATTAGCTAATGACTTGCAGTCTGGAGGTAATGTAAGCTTGCTGCCAGGATAAATGTGAGGTAGGTGATATTTATACAGTGTATTATTTAGCTGTCTGCAGGAGCTGAGCATAGACTTGCTGAGATTGTCTTCATTGCTGAGCACAGAAAGGAAACATCATGTCTGACACAGAAACACCATTTGCTTCCCTGCTGCTGATAACAAGAAAAGCTGTCCAAACCTCTGTTTTCATTTATATAAAACACTAATACATGACTATATAAAAGAAGAATCACTGAGTTCCAGCTCTTGTTTATGGAATTCTTATTAAGGCCTTGCATGGTAGATATCTATGGCTGATTAGAATAGTTTTGCACATACTTTCATTGGTTAAGTACATGTCCTCATACACAGTAGCTCTTAATAAAGGTTAACCAAACATTGAATTCAATCTATTTCTCATTTCCAGGCAAACATTTTCTTTTTTTGTGTTCTCATCAGGGAAGGAAGCGAGATGAATATCTCCAGATGACACATACAACAACAGGAGCATTTTTTAATTGTTATTGTGGAGAAGGGCTATAACATTTTTATTGTTGTCTGTAACCTCCTCAGTTCTTGCATACTGTACTTGCCAATTGTCCTAGATTTGCCAGGACAGTCCTGATTTTTACTTTTTTTGTTTCTACCTGCATCCCAGGCTGTGTACCAGGAATCCAGATGGAGGCATAGCTGTCCCTAGTGCTTGGTACTAACCAATAAATGAGGGATGTCCAGCACTAGGAACGGCTATGCTTCACGCTGGGTTCCTGGGAACCATAAACCGCTTGCACTTTAAAATTTTCTGTTGCCAGCTTTTCTCCTTGTTGCTTTTCAGAGCTCAGGATCTGTATCTGTTATTGCCCAAAAGAAGCAGGCTGCTTCCAGGGCAGCAGAAGGTCCCTGTGTCACTCATGCTCCTGAATGACTTCTGCTGGTACAAGAGAAAGTTACTGAGTCCCCCATTAAGCACCAATAACCCCTGTCCACCCCACTGAGCACAAATGCGCCCTGTCAGCCCCCCACCCTCCACTGAACTCTAATGCCCTCTCCCTCTTCCTGTCCACCCCACTAAGAACAATTGCCTCCCCTCTGCCCTTTGAACACCAATGGACCCTGCCTAACCCATTTAACACCAATGCCTCCTCTCACCTCTCTGAACACAAAAGCCCTCTCTCCCTCTACTAAGCACCACTGGCTGCCTCTCTCCCCACAGAGAACAACTCCCCCCATCCATTTCTCTAAACACTAATGCCTCCCTATCCTGTACTCCTCACTGAGTACAACTGCCCCTCTGTCCATCCCATGAGCAGTATTACCACCTGTTCATGTCACTGAGCACCACTGCCCTTCATCCACCCCACTAAGCATCAATGATTGCTGCCCATATGCTGAAATCTTAGGCAACATAAGGTTGTTAGACTTTTAATGAGTCTAATTCATTTCTCTTATCTGGGTCTTGCATGTTTCCCTGCAATTCATAGCAGTGGTCAAAAAAGTAATAGCACTAATAAATGGCAAGATCTGCAGTCAAAACAAGCATCTTAGGAACCTCCTAAATCCAGGTTTATTTAAGTGTTGGTCGGAGGTTAAACCTCCATTGTTTTCCTCATGTCTATGAGCTTTTTTGTTGTTTTACATGCCAGTATGCTATTAATCTTCTATGTTAATAAATGTTTAAACTACTACGCTTTGTTGGTAGCCTTTTAATTTAAATATTTTAAGATAGATTTTGAATAGATTAAATTTAACAGGGATGAAATGTATAAATTACATATTTATACTTTAAGAGATATACTGTAATGTAATTAAAATGTAAAAAATTATTTCTGTGTCCTTTCGATTTTAGCCACTGAAATTATATTGTAAAAAATTATTTCTGTGTCCTTTCGATTTTAGCCACTGAAATGATGACATGCAGGTTTGCTATATAGCTGAATCACACATGATAACTCAAAAACATTTATCAGCAGACAGAATCTCCATCTGAGTTCATCATATATCGATTATTTCTAGAGTAAAAAATCTGCTCTATTTTATAAACAATTGATCTACAGTGAAATTGCCTGCTCTGCTTGCTCATCTCTAAATATGATGCATAAAAAGAATGTGCTGAGTACTGGTGGCATGCTTATTACAAGGATTATATCTATACCAACACATTTTCCGTTTGTACTAGTTACTGATTTTCCCAAGTGAGAATGGAGTCTTGAGCTAAAGAAGACTACCCACTCTTTTCTCTTTTATGTTTCTATTACCTATAATGACCTATAATGGATTACATATGATTTGCAGGCTAAATTCACCTTTAGTATCATGTTACATGTTCCACCCATTTTTTTGCCTGCAAAAAAATGTGCATTTATTTTTTTTGTGTTTTTTTTTTTTTTTTTTACACACATATGAACTTATCCCGTAAGACAGGATCCATACACACACATATCTCCCTTTTCCTACCTCTTCAACCAACTATAGAGTGCTGTAGTAAGTCTCTCAATCACACCTTATACCAGTCAAACAGACAGTTCTGTAGATTTCTTTTATGTATTCTT